TATATATTCTCTTTGGAGGAGAATTAAGAAGAGAAATTGTAAACCTGCCAAGGATGTGCTTTTTTAAAATTTATTTTTATTTTTATTATTTGTGTGTGTGTGTACCGTCAAATCAGATTTGACTGGTACAGGAGGAGGTTGTCCCTCCTTCCCCGGCAGAGCATCTGGTGGATTTGAACCGTGTGCCTCTGGGATTGCAGTGCAGCTTCTTGCCACTAGGTCACCAGAGCTCCCCAAGGATGTGCTTTTAAGGCCACAATTCTTGGCTTGTGATCCGTCTATGAATTTTCATCAGGATTATTTTTTCAAGACTAGACTACAATGTGTTAGACACTCTAGCCCTTTACTTGCTTTGTGAAACTGGATAATCATACTAAAGTTTCTGAACCTCTTCATCTGTAAAATAGAACTAGGATAGGAAAGATACTTACCTCCTACCAATGTCAGAAAGGTTCAGAGAGCTAATATATAATGAGTTTTTTCTTTAAAGACATTGTAGAAAAGTTGAAAAAAAATATGTGAGTTCAAGAGCCGGGTACATCAGTTTCAAACTCAGCCAACCTTTTACTCACTGTATGACCATGGGCAGTCACCCAATCTCTCAGAATCTCAGTTTTCACTCTATAAACAGGAGTGAGTGTTAAGAGAATGACCCAGTTCTAGTATTTAATATACAGTAATAATTATTATTATTCTGATCTTTGTGTAATATTGATTATTCAAGAGAAATGGAGTTTACAATGTAGTTGGTCTTAAATAGTTAGTCCCTAATATTTTAAAGGCCTGAGCAAAAGAATACATCTGTGATATAAAATTTTTGTTGTTGTTATGTGCCATCTATTCTTTTCTGACTCATAGCAACCTTATGTACCACAGCTCTGAACCCTGCTCTACCTTGAGCCAATTTTATTGTCTCTGACACAACCACTGCCATAACGCCAGTCACTGAGTCAGTCCACCTCACTCAGGATCTTCCTCTCTTGCACTGACCTTCCACCCTTCTTAAGCATATTGTTCTTCTCCAAGGACTGGTTCCTCCTGGAAACATGCCCAAAGAATGTGAGACAGAACTTCAAAATCTTTGCCTCCAAGGAACAGCCTAATTTCACCCTCTCTAGGACATACCTGTTTGGACTCTTAGCAGTCCATGGTATGTTCAAACATATCGGAGGTCATGAAGATGCTGTGTAATCATATACAGCTGTGTAATCCTTCCAGCAGCCACCACCTCTAGCATCCCATCACTTAAAACTTCAATAAAAACTCTAGAGGAAGTCCTATTGCTAAAATATTGGGGCATTTTAAGTCAATGGAAAGGCATTAAGAGTGCAAACAGGCTTTTCTGTGGACCAGCTCTCTGCCTTTGGGAAACTGATAGCAGTACTATCCACTGTGAATTGCTAAGAGATTTCCATGTTGTTAAGTGCTGTCAAGTCAAGTACAGCGAATAAGGATGACAGAAGAATTGATGCCTTTGAGTTGTGGTGCTGGAAAAGATAGGTAACATCATGATGGTTGGAGAAAAGATTGAAACTTACTTGGATCCACAATTAACACCTTTGGTACCAATAGTCAGGAAATAAGGAGTTGGATGCATTGCACTGGGAAAATCTGCAGTTACTGAGGACTAACAATGTCATTTTGAGGATTAGGGTGCATCTGATTCAGGCCATGGTCCTTCCAATGACTTCCTATGCATCTAAGAGCTGGACAACGATTAAGAATGATAGAAGAAGAATTGATGCCTCTGAGCTGTGGTGTTGGAGAAGAGCACTGAACATCCTATGGATGGCCCAAAGAACAAATAACTATGTCTTGGAGAGGGTGCAGCCAGAATGCTCTTTGGAGGCAAGAATGATGAGTCTTTGCCTTACATACTTTGGACATGTTGCTAGGAGGAGCTATTCCTTGGAGAGGAAGGGTAGGGGGTTAGGAAAGGAGAGGAAGACCCTTGACCAGGTAGATTGACAGAGTGACTGTCACAATGGGTTCTAGTGTCTTAGGAAGTGTGAAGATGGCACAGGGCTCAGATCTGTTCTTTCATAGAGTTGCTATGAGTCATACTAGACTCAACAGCACCTAACAACAGCAACATGGACTGCAAAGAACAAATATATCTGTCCTGGAAAGAGTGAAACCAAGTTGTTCCTTAGAGGTAAAGACTTTGAAGCTCCATCTCACATACTTTGAGCATGTTCCCAGGAGGGACCAGTCCTTGGGGAAAGACATAATGCTTGCAAGGGTAGAGGATTGGCGTGGAAGAGGAAGACTCTGGATTAGATGGATTGGCAGTGTGTCTGAGATGGTGAGCTTGGCTCAGGATAGGATAGGGTTCAGAGTCATTGTTCATACAGTCACTATGAGTCACAATCAACTCAATGGCACATAACAACATGGATGATGATTACACAACATGATCATATAACTGAGGTCACTAAATTCTAAACCTACAAAGAATTGAATTGGCAAATGTTGTGATATAAGTATTTTTGTAATAATTTAAACAATGAAAGACTCACCATCCAGCACACTCCAGACAATTATGGAGCGGTCCTTCAAGCCCACGAACACGTACTTGTCGTCTTTGGAGAAGCAAGCACATTGCACTCCTCGGCAGTAAGAACGCTGCAGAACAGACAAGGTACTCTTGAATGCAGGTCAAAACCTCAGAGATAAGCTCCAAGACATGTGTCCAGGAATCCAGGCTTTTAAGCACCCCATGACAGGTGAATCCAATGGCCACCTGGGAGATGAGTGGCAGGAATCTTCCCAGAACCAATATCACTTCTTGGAAATTTGCTTGAAAGATTTAGACATTGTGCATTTGACAGTGGAAGGATAGGACTTAAGTTCTTCAGTGATCCTAGTTCTACATATATTAGTAAGGCACTGGTGGTTCAGTGGTAGAATTCATGCCTTCTGTGTTGGAGACTCAGGTTCACTTCCCAGAAATACAGCTAAGGCACAACTCCTACTCATCCCTCAGCAGAGACTTTTGTGTTACTTTAACTTCCTAACCCTTCTTAAATGACACCCCTTGCCATTCACGGCCTCCTCATCTTGCCTTGGTCTCCTTCAAAGCCCTTATTATTCCATGACTCATTCTGTAGTTCTTTTTTTTAATTTCATAAACATCTCATTAGTGCTGAAGCTAGGTCTTAGGGGTCATAGGCTAGTCAAGGTAGCAAAACATGAAAATCCATGTCCACATGGACCTCATCATGCCTCCCCTACTAAAATGTGAATCCTAGACATGGGACCCACCACTCATCTGTCAGTTTGTCACACTGTGAAGTCTGTGTGTTTCTATGATGCCTGGATGCTATGTCAGAATTCAAATACTAGCAGGGTCACCCATATGGGACAGATTTAAGTGGAGCTTCTCGACTAAGACAGATTAGGGAAAAGGACCTTACAATCTACTTCTTAAAAGACCATGCAGGGACAACTTTGTGGACAGCAGTGAAACACTGTCTGATGTAGAGCTGGAAAGTGAGCTCCTCAGCTTGGAAGAGACCCAAAACGCAACTGGGGAAGAGTTACTTCTTCAAAGAAGATGATCTTAATGATGTGAGTGGAATAAAGCTGTCAGGATCCTCATTTGCTTAGGTGATACAACTCAAAATAAATAAAAACAGATGTAAATATTCATTACTAATTAGAATATAGAATAAATAAAGTACGAGTCAAGGAAAATTGGTTCATCCTGGAGATGGTGTAACCAGGCTGCTCCTTGGAGGCAAGGATTTTTAAGATCCACCTGACATACTGTGGTCATGTTGCAAGGCAGGACCAGTCCTTGGAGAGGGACATCATACTTGAGAGGGTGGAGGGCAGTGCAAGAGAGGAAGACTCTCAATGAGATGGATTGACTCAGTGACTGGGGTACTGGGGGTAGGTGTGTCAGAGATGATAAGGTTGGCTCAGGATAGAGCAGGGTTTGGAGCAGTTGTACACAGGGTTGCTACGAGTCACAAATGACCTGATGACATATAACAACAACAAAAATTAAATGGAACATTTAAAAATCAATATCCTAGATTTTAGTGAATGGAATTGGACTGATAATGGCCACTTGAATGGGAAAAGTGTTATGATCTACTATGATGGGAATGACAAATGGAAGAGGAATGACATCATATCCATAGGCAAATGAACATTTCAGGATCTGTTCTATCCATGCAGAGATAGGAGATGTTGTTGTTGTTCTTAGGTGCCACTGAGTCGAGTATGACTCAGAGCAACTCTGTGAACATAAGATCTGAAACCAGTCCTGTCCTGAGCCATCCTTACTCTTCCTGACACACAAAAGCCCACGGCAGGAGTCACTTGTCAATCCACCTGGTTGAGGGTCTTCCTCTCCTTCACCAAACCTCTACCCTTCCCAGCATCATGTCCTTCTCCAAGAAATAGCACTTCCTAGCAAATGTCCAAAGTACCTAGCTTCAGCACTAATGAGATGTTTGTGAAATAAAAAAAAAGAAAAGAGAACTACTGAATGAGTCATGGAATAATAAGGGCTTTGAAAGAGACAAAGGCAAGATGAGGAGGCCGTGAGTGGCAAAGGATGTAATTTAAGAAGGCTTAGGAAGTTAAAGTAACACAAAAGTCTCTGCTGAAGGATGAGTAAGGGTTGTGCCTTAACTGCGTTTCTGGGAATTGAACCTGAGTCTCCAACACAGAAGGCATAAATTCTACCATTGAACCACCAGTGCCTTACTAATATTTGTAGAACTAGGATCATTGAAGAAATTAAGTCCTATCCTTCCACTCTCCAATGCACAATGTCTCTAAACCTCTCTAGCAAATTTCCAATCATTCTTGCCTCCAAAGAGCACTCTGGCTGCACCCTCTCCTCTCTAAGACATATCTATTAATTTTCTTGGCTGTCCATAGAATGTTCAGCATTCTTCTCCAATACCACAGCTCAAGGGCATGATTAACTGTATCTGATCTCATTTACAATCAGCTTGGGTGGGAAGCCTCTGTGTGGGCAAACAGGATCTGGTGGGTGGGCCTTGGTATTTAAAAGTCAGTTGGGCCCAAGAGCCACAGGCCCTTCGGCCTGCTCTTGATCATGTTTAGAAAGAATGTTGTTATAAGTGGTGCAGCACTTGTCTGTCAGTTTGCTGTACTGCCATTACTTGGGGTTGCTGTGATGCTGAAATCTTTGCCACTGGTGTGTCAAATTCTAAAAGGGTTTCCCATTGTGAACCGGTTTTGGTGGAGCTCCCTGATTAAGACAGAGTAGGAAGCAGAATGGGCCTTCTACTTCCTAAATAAAAAGCTTTTTAAAATCCTATGAACACTAAACAAAGAGGATAGGATGATATCCACACACTAACAAGGAAGAGCTCTGGTGGCCTAGGGTTAAGAAACTGCACTGCAATCCTAAATGTACATGATTCAAATCCACCAGCTGCTCTGTGGAAGAAAGATGGGCAATCTCCTCTCATGTGATTAATAGCCTCTGAAAACCCACCAAAGGGTCAGCTATGGTTGGTTCTGACTCGATGGTAGTCAACAACAACAAGGAAGACCTTTCAGTATGACTACAATTCAAGTTTACCAACCACTTCAGTGGTACCAAACACTAAAGCCAAAGATGAAGAAGCTGAAGATTTTGATCCAAAATTGAACATGCAATCAAGATGCACAGAGAGTTACTAGTGACTGGACTACAAAAATTAGAAACAAAAGATTGTTAGGTGGAAAAGTATATCCTTGATGATAGAAACAAGGCTAGAGATTGCATGACAGGATTCTGTGTAACCAACTTATTTATTGTAAGCATCTTCTTAACACAATATAAATGATATGCATATATGTGGACCTCATCAAATGGAATACACAGGAATGAATGACAATCTCTCCTGGAGAGAAATGGTGGGGAAGCTTGGTATCAGCAGTCAGAAAAAGGCCACAGGCCAACTGTGGGGTGAACCATCGATTGCTCATATGCAAGTTAAAACGGAAGCGGAGGAAAAACTTAAAAATTCCTCAAGAGGGTGGAAACAGACAGGTAAGGATGTGTGTGTGTGTGTATTAAACATGGGGTTGTACAATTTGATGAGGGGATAAGGAAAATGAGAAGGATCTGGTGTGAAAAACATTTTTTTTAAAAAGAATTGTTCTTTTTTTTTTTTTTAGAAGTTCAATCTGGATATTCTTTTTTATTTTATTTTATTATTTTTGTGTGCATGTACCGTCAAATCAGATCTGACTGGTACAGGAGGAGATTGCCCCTCCTTCCCCGGCAGAGCATCTGGTGGATTTGAACCGTGCGCCTCTGGGATTGTAGTTGCAGCTCCTTGCCACTAGGCCACCAGAGCTCCCCTGAAAAACAACATTTGAACTTTGTAAATAAAGTAGTATAAAAAATGTAAAATAGAATATACATGAATGTATGAAATATAATGTAAATGAAAGATTGTATAAAACAATGTATATGAATGAAATATACTATAAAGGTATTATTATATGAAAATCAATAAAAAAAATTTAAAAATTTCCTCAGGAGCCAAAATACAATCTTGAGAATGTCCTACCTGAGTTTAGAGACCATCCCAAGAACAGAGTTAACACAGGGACACCAAAGACCAAAGGACCCAGTGAGTTTTGGGTTCATATCAAAGATATCATACAAGAAGGAAACAAAAAAGGTCATTTAAAAGACAGGAAAGAGAGAAAAGACAGAAACAGGTGTCAAGAGAGCCCCAGAGTTGTATGAGTCAACAATACCTTTTAAAGACAGGCAGACAGATAGATAGACAGTCAGACAGCAGAAAGAGCTTTTTAGTTGAAGAATAATTTGGAAAAGTATTTTGAGAATGATTGAATGACTTGAATATATTCAATGTCACTGACTTGCACCTGGAAAAAATCAGTGAATTGGTGTCTATTTTGTGGTGTACAACTTAAAAAACTTATCTTAAAAGTTATATGTCCCTAAAAAAAGTTATATGTCACTACAACCAGAAGATAAAATAGATGAATGGAATCTTCTAAGAATCAAATCCCTATGCACATCCCAAAACTTCTCCAACAGGGTAAAAAGGGAAGCCACAGACTGGGAAAAAGTATTTGGTAATGACATATCAGATAA